CTCCAGGTAAACTCCATAGAAAGGAAGTGTTGCTTTAATTCCTTGCATCAAGACCTCTTCCTTCCTAAAGAGAATAATAATAATAATAATAATAATAATAATAAAAATAATAATAATAATAACAATAACTTCCAAAATCCTCAGTGGTGTAGTTTTGAAAGTTAAGTTAGGTTGAAGCAGTTAACTCATATCAGTCCTAAAGCTCCTTCGTAATGTCAGATAATCAAGTTTGAACCGATGGAAAGGAGGAGTTAACTCCAAATCCCTCTGATCAAGAGTCCTTCATCAGCAACGAGGCACTACCTTCCTTGAAGGATACACATCAGGGATGTGACCAGCGTTCACTTTAGCATCAGGGAAGTGATCAGAATACACTGTCACGTCACGGAAGTGAGCAGGGAGCACTTTCTACTTCGCTGTTTACGAAGTAATGAAATCTATAGTTTTGTGAGTTTTCCCCACAACAGCTGTTATACCGCAGGGCTGCCTTCATTATCTCTAAAAACCACATAATTCGCACCTTAAAAGTCTCAGTCTCAAGAACACATAATCCTGGAGATAATATCTCGGATAATTATCGTGATATGTGAGGTCTCAGTACACCACCTTGAGGTGTGTCTGGTTCCTTTTTTTTTTTTTTTTTTTTTTGTAATTTCACTTTTGTAGTCCTAAAATAAAGTGTAAAACTTTATTTAGAAAAAAATAAAATAAAATATAAGGAAATCGTTGAGGTTAGGTAAGGTTTGTCAGGACAAGTGTTTCATGACGCGGGTCTTATCCTAGCACAGGAGGAGATAAATACATGAGTGGGTGTGGGTGGGTGTGAGTTGGACCTGACTAGCTTGTAATTATAGGCTTCTTCCTGCGTGCACTCAGAATCTGCAGCAACGAGTTCCTTGAGGAAGAATGCACTATAATTGAACAGGTATTTTCCAAACTCCACTATCCTCGTCACTTCATCAGAGACTGCAGACGGCGAGCACTAAACATCTTCAACACACCCAGAGAAGACACTGCCGAGAAGAGATACATAGTCCTTCCCACCAACTCCATTGCCAAACATGTTTCCAACATCTTTGCCAAAACATCATTCCAAGTATCTACCTCCACAACCACGACCATCAAGGACATCACCAGTAGTAGGCAGGACAAGCCTCCATCCTCTGCAGGGGTATACATAATCCCTTGTAATGACTGCAACAAGTTATACGTGGGCGAAACATCAAGGGACCTCCAAACACGTATTTCAGAACACCAATACGCAAGCAGGTCTGACGACACAAGGAATGCCTGCGTACAACACCGTAATTCACACAACCACTTGATAAACTACAGAAACTCAAGACTTATCGCCACAGAAGACAACACTCAATACCGAAGAATCCTGGAATCATCACTTATTTCTATATCCGACAACTTCAACCAGAATAGTGGCTTCTATAACATAGCTGAACCACTTGCCAAGAAACTTCTTCATCGCTATCCCACATAAGAACACTGTAGAAGGTCTGCTCACAAACTTGTCCAGTCTCCTTTCCAAGCTACCCAAGTTTTTAGACTCTACAACCCAACTCGGTACATCATCAGATGCAGCATTCTTCACCTGACCTCAGCCGGACTATAAATACTCGCGTTCCTTCCACCCCAGGTAGTTCTGTCTGTGACTTGAAAAAGCCCACTGTGTGGGCGAAACGTAGTCAATAAAGGATCACATTATACTGCATTTGTGTTTATACTGCCATTGTGTCGGTATTTTATACCATTTATTCCCATTGTGCTACTAGGTCTGATGCCGTGCTCCTTCATTAAGTGGAAGTGACCTGACTAGGTGGGTCATTGGGCTAAGCCGGAGGGTAACATGGACCTGCTTCGCATGGGTCGGTAGGCCTGCTGCAGTGTTCCTTCTTTCTTATGTTCTTACAGAAGCCAGTGGAAGAAGTGGAAAGGTGCAGCAAATGAAGACGTGGTCACATTAGGGCGTGGCCCACAGAAATACGTCAGGCCCAGAGTGTTCGTCCTTGCGTATCTGTGTTAGATTACTAAGTCTCTCAACATTATAGTCTCTCAGCTTAGTTACATTACAATGTCTCTTAATGACCGTTATAATCTGCTGTCACCTGGGTGGTAAAGGTGGTTCTATACAGTAGAATAATTTTGAAGTTGTAAAACTTTGACTAATTTTATATTAGGAAAAAAAAGGATTATTACTATCATAAATATAACAAGCTCAAATCTAAACCCGTGTGAATCATTCACTATAAGGACTGGTGGAGGCTCGATCTGCAGTCCGCTAATCGCAGCAAGGTTTCTAACCAGTTTAATTACTGGGGACTGTATTTTCTTTAGCTCTTGAAATTTCGAAAAAAAAGAAGCATTGAGTAGTCGGTCATGAAGGCTGGTCTTACACATTATTTGTTTCGTTTCTCCGTCTTCAACCACAGACTTGATTGCCTGAAGCCACAGCCTCCAAAACCAGAGGTCAGCTGTCTTGAAGTCTAGTGTGGAAGTGTTGTGACCACATTTCAAGGTGAAAGTCACTGAAGATGGCGAATCACATCCACGTTCCCAGCCATAACCGGACATTCAACACATCCTATTGCTTCCAACTTTGAGTTTAATGACAGCGGAAAGTACATTTTAGACAGTGCTACATCACCCTGGAAGGCCAACAGTACATCCTGGCCTTGATGGCTAGCTTCTGTTTGGAGTATACGTGATGGTAAGCTTTTATCTAGTTTATATGTTATGGTAAGCTTTCAACTGGGGTATATGTGATGGCAAGATTCTAGCTGGGGTATATGGATAACTACGAAAAGGTCAAGCATTGTGTTTTCCTTCCACTGGGGGTCGTTTTGAGGTTCCTCCACAAGGATGCGACCTACACCAGCCGATTAACTCTCTGGTATCTATGTACCGCTAATTAACAGTGGACAGCAGGTGTTAGAAGGTTTGTCCCTCCCCGCCTAGGATTAGACCCGGATCCATATGGTTATGGGGCATTCACCACAGGTTCAGGATGTTCCCGGATAAATACAGACTTCCTGGGATCGCTCAAACCTGTGATCACTGTCAATCAGTGTGTACAAATTTGACGATGGCAGAAAAAATTTGAGGATATCTTGGAAAAATCAAAAGTCAAAGGACTCATTAATGGGGACTGAAACAGTAACCAAATGGGAATATCAATTTCAACCTTTATTCTGGCGTCAACAATGTTAAAAATACAACTCTTGGTATACATACTCTTTCGTCTATCTAAAGACACTACGAAAACTGCTTTGTCTCGGCTCTTGGAAGTAATTTTGTTTTTGTAATTATCATATATATAATAGAAGGATCGGATCCTTTTATAATAAATAGTAGAAAGATTTGGATTATAAAAATTAATTATGTCCATTACCAGCATTTCTTCCATAATGTGTATTAGAAAAGACACAGGCAAATTATTATTATCAGTGTCCCATTTCACGCTTACTAGAGCACTCAGCTCATACACTGAAGTCCGTGGATCGATCCCCGGTACGGGTGGAAACATTAGGACGTATTTCCTTAAGGCACCTGCTGTTCATGTTCACCTATCAGTAAAATAGGTACCTGGGTGTTAATCGACTGGTTTGGGTCGCATCCTGGGACAAAATTGATCTAATTTTCCCCAGATACTCTGCATTACAAAGGGCTTTCTATATAGTAGTATGTCACTGATGTCAGCTAGGTCACCTTGTACATGTACTTGTGAAAAGATTATTATTAGTAGTAATAGTAGTAATAGTAGTAGTAGTAGTAGTAGTAGAAATAGTAGTAATAGTAGTAGTAGTAGTAGAAATAGTAGTAATAGTAGTAGTATCAGCATTCTTGTTTAACGCTAAACCGTGTGGGTCATTCAACACAAGGAGTAGTAGTCTAGGCTCGATCCTCCGTCCGTGGTAAATATAGTGCCTAATTGTACTCACCTTCCATGTTAGAAAATTAATCATGAGATGATCAACGTTTTCATACATCACAAAGAAAAAAATTACATAACTTCGTAAATTTTTGCAATTTACAGATACGTTAAAAACTTGAATCCAAATACATATATTATTTTTAGATTACCTATAACCTAAGAAAAGGAAATTCAAGAAAGTGTAGTTCTTACTTTACAGATATGTTAAAGTTGTTGGCAACCGTATACGAAACACTGCTGCTGTTTGAAGTCTTAAAGAAAAGTAATGAAGGTCTGCAGATGAATCTATATAAAATTCAACTAATATCTGTATATTTCTAATTCTTCTAGAGTCATCCTCGCTGGAGGAAGTTTTTTTTTTTAACACACTGGCCGTCTCCCACCAAGGAAGGGCGGCCCGAAAAAGAAAATCTTCCATCATCATTCACTCCATCACTGTCTTGCTAGAGGCATGCCTATACTACAGTTATAAAACTGTAACATTAACACCCCTCCTTCAGAGTGCAGGCACTGTACTTCCCATCTCCAGGACTCAAGTCCGGCCTGCCAGTTTCCCTGAATCCCTTCATAAATGTTACCTTGCTCACACTCCAACAGCACGTCAAGTTATTGGAGGAAGTTATTGAAAGAAAGCATAACTTACTCAAGACTCATTTTACTCTCTTCGGGCTCATGTTCAACACCACATATCTGTTATTTACACAGAAATGTCGTCTCATTATTTACTCTCGGTCAGGAGATCAAATTAGTTCAGGAATTCATAACTAATAATTTATACGTGAATTTACTTAAACATTTATATTTATTTTTAGACACTTGCAAGTACATAACAAAACAATTAACCTATTATAACAAACTTATTATAACAAAACTATTAACTTATTATAATAAATGAAATGTGAGAGTCGCAGCTAAAAGTATATTTTAGAGCATCTGACCACACTGGGTCTCCTGTGCCATCAATGTGAAGGCTTCAGGAAACCTCCCGCTCGTCGTCTTGCATTACACGAAGTGAAAGACTCGTGAAACACATTCGATATGGTTAACAAGGTTCCTTTCAATACTTAGCGGTCGAAGTTGAAGGAGTCCAATAGACAGGCACAGCTGGCAGGCAGCTTGAACGTCTCAATGGCGAAGGGAAAGTACTGATCACAAAGGTCGTAGACGAGGAACCGGTGATAAATGGACTTCTGCAGGCAAGTGGAATCGTAACATTCAGGTACTAAGGGACAGTCTTCGTCGGGAGTCAGGCACTCCTCGATGCGCGTTATTTGGGAGAGAGTCACATAATGAATCTTGATGTGGTTCACGATGACGTGCCACTTGCCCTCGGTGTTCTTGGCTCGCAGAGGCCTGATGTAAGTAGTTTCTGAGGGACAGAGGTACGTCTCCTCCATCAGACCCTTAACGGAGAGTTCGGTGCTGAAATCATCTAAATTAGCATAGAGGGAGAGGACTTTCTCGTAGTGATGGCCGAGGGCGTGTTTGATCTCATAGGTTGGGTACTGGTCATCCTCAATGCACCAAGACTTGGTAGTGTTGGCGGCGCATTGGGGGATTACGGGACCATGGCCATAGTGTGGTCGCTGATGATAGGAGGGTCTTCGGTGGAATGAATATGGCACTGGGTTGTAAGTGAGTGTTGACGACTTGGGTGCCTGTGAGACATCTGATTTTTCAGTAAGTGATGACATTGTGTTGCTGTTAGTTGTTGATGAAGTTGTGCTACTGTCTGTTGATGATGTTGTTCTGCTGTCTGTTGTTGATGATGTGCTACTGTCAGTTGTTGATGTTGTGCTGCTGTCTGTTATTGATGCTGTGCTACTACTGTCTGTTGTTGATGATATTGTGCTAATATCTGATGTTGATGGATATTCTGATGCTGAAAGAGGTGTTGCTGGCTGCTCCGATGGTGATGTAGTCTGGTTGGATGTTGGTGGTGTTGGCGATGGTTCTTGAGTTGAGGAAGTCAGGATGGGGTAACCAGCACCTTTTGTAGACGACCCGAGTGTTTACATGTGACGTGCTGGAGGCCGTCGCTATGCTAACACCCATCAGAATTACCTGAAACAATATGTTAACGGCGAGAATCAGGAAAGGGTTACCTGGTGTCATTCAGGAACAACAGACAATCAATCATCTGAATGATTATCAATCTTAAATATCAGCTTTATCATGCCCATAACTTGATAATGCTCTACACTTAAACGTTATCACAAATTACAATACTACTACTACTAATAATAATAATAATTATTAATATTATTATTATTATTTTAATTTTTATTGTGCATCAGTTTAAGCGCTAAACTCTAAAGGGTCATATAGTGGGAATGTTAGAACACATTAGATACTATATTCACCTGAGAAGTGATCCTCAGGTCATTGATCAGAGGCACCAGTATAAACATTCAACTCTGTTAACTGGTGTGTCAGAGTAAAAACTTCCTCTGTAAACTGTGTTTACAGCATGAAATATTAGAAGGGAATTTTATCCTAATTCTGATTTATTATTCTGATATTACTAATATTATTCATAATTATTATTATTATTATTATTATTATTATTATTATTATTATTATTATTATTATTATTATTATTATTATTATTATTATTATTATTATTATTATTATTATTATTATTATGACGATTTTATTAACTTTTATAATTGTTCTTACACTATTACTTCTATCCAAAAATTTTACAAAAAATAGAGAATGATATTTACAATGATGGGTAGCCGGGTAAGAGCGGTTTAACAAGATCCAGTTTAAAGTACAGCAACAACAGTGATAAATTAATTTTCTTGTTCCTATTTAATGTACAGATAATCGCCATTTGGAGAGGAAAATGAGTTTGCTTTGTATCTTCCACGAATGTGTCGAGCCTCACCATGAGGTAGGTGAGAACCATGATTACGAGAGGTGGTGATCAAGGCAGCTGGTGCGAACACACTGCTCAGAATACACCAGTGTCATCTTATATACTGAAGTCAAAAACTACTCTCACTGCTTCAGTAAAAAAAAAAAAATATATATATTGTGTTCGCTCATTTTGGTGAGTGGTTCGAGGCGAGAGTCGATCTGGTGGTGGTCATCGAAGTCTTATTTTCTTCGATGTGTGGATTATTGGTCTACAAGTGATGCATTCAAGCTGTGATGGGGACGTTTTTTCCGTAAGGAAATACGAGTGTCTCCTGACGCTTTTTTTTTTTTTTTTGTTATTCGCCGGTATTCTCCCGGACCAGGTCTTTTCCAAGTAGTGGTGACCCGGCCTTCGCTCCCTATCTGGGAAGTGTCTCGAGACGTAAGTCTCGCTGATCTACGACAAATGATCTGTGTACCGGTAGCGGCACACCAATGATTAATCAGTGATGCAGTAACTACTGGTGTACTGGTACTGGCACACCAGTGATGCAGTAACAACTGGTGTACTGGTACTGGCACATCAGTGATGCAGTAACAACTGGTATACTGGTACTGGCACACTAGTGATGCAGTAACCACTGGTGTACTGGTACTGGCACACCAGTGATGCAGTAACAACTGGTATACTGGTACTGGCACACGAGTGATGCAGTAACCACTCAAATACTAGTACTGGCACACCAGTGATGCAGTAGCCACTGGTATACTGGTACTGGCACACCAGTGATGCAGTACCCACTGGTATACTGGTACTGGCACACCAGTGATGCAGTACCCACTGGTATACTGGTACTGGCACACCAGTGATGCAGTAACCACTGGTATACTGGTACTGGAACACCAGTGATGCAGTAACCAGTGGTATACAGGTACTGGCACACCAGTGATGCAGTAACCACTGGTATACTAGTACTGGCACACCAGTGATGCAGTAACCACTGGTATACTAGTACTGGCACACCAGTGATGCAGTAACCACTGGTATACTGGTACTGGCACACCAGTGATGCAGTAACCACTGGTATACTGGTACTGGCACACCAGTGATGCAGTAACCACTGGTATACTGGTACTGGCACACCAGTGATGCAGTAATCCACTGGTGTACTAGTACTGGCACACCAGTGATGAGCAGTAACCACTGGTGTACTAGTACTGGACACACCAGTGATGCAGTAACCACTGGTGTACTAGTACTGGCATCACCAGTGTTGCAGTAACCACTGGTGTACTAGTACTGGCACACCAGTGATGCAGTAACACTGTGTATAGTACTGGCACACCAGTGATGCAGTAACCACTGGTATACTGTACTGGCACAACAGTGATGCAGTAACACTGGTATTACTGGTACTGGCACACCAGTGATGCAGTAACCACTGTTATACTGGTACTGGCACACCAGTGGTGCAGTAACCACTGGTATACTGGAACTGGCACACCAGTGATGCAGTAACCTCTGGTATACTGGTACTGGCACACCAGTGGTGCAGTAACCACTGGTATACTGGTACTGGCACACCAGTGGTGCAGTAACCACTGGTATACTGGTACTGGCACACCAGTGGTTGCAGTAACCATTTGGTATACTGGTACGGCAACCAGTGATGCAGTAACCACTGGTATACTGGCACTGGCACACCAGTGGTGCAGTAACCACTGGTATACTGGTACTGGCACACCTGTGATGCAGTAACCACTGGTATACTGGTACTGGCACACCAGTGGTGCAGTAACCACTGGTATACTGGTATCATGTGGGAGTTCGATACGTGGATTAGGGTAGAAATACTCACGTAGGCTGTTTTACGTATATTGCTGTTATGTGGACAGAGCTCTTGCCAGCCGTACCTATCTCCTTGCTACCACACGTAATACTGGCTCGCCGGCTGCCCAGTACCCAGTAGGTCTTTGAATACTGCTGAGGTCAGCACAATATGAAAGACCGTGACTCAAGAGACGGTTGATCGTTGAGTCAGACGGTACTGGTAACTGGTTACTACTACTGAGACTGGTAACTGGTTACTACTACTGAGAGCTCGGCGACTCTAACGTATGTGGGCCCCGACATACAACAAATACAAACTAGAGATGGTAGGTATACGGCTTGGGCTGATTCTATACAATGTAAAAAGTACACAACATTAAACATTAAAAATAATAAGTAAAAACAAGGAATGAAAGCTTACGTAACTGAAACTCTAAGCAATACAAGGTATTTCGATAGCACACTTAAAACTCAACATTTTAACAACGAACTCTACGTTAAGAATTACAAGTGATAAAAAAAAAATTTTGATCGATCGATCTGTATTCGTGTGATCTACGGATTGAGGAAGGAATAAAATTTCAAAATAAAGAGTGTTTAACAGAAAGGCAGATTCGGTTTCACGCAAAAACTAGGGCTGTTAACTCTCAGAATGCGGGAGGGAAAATGAACACAAAAAAAAAAATTCTTGAATATGATAAGTTGATACTGTAAAATTTTTCATCTATACAGGTTATTTACATTTAACCCCCAAATCTGCTAGGGTAAGATTGGCTTTTGCAGAATGGGGGATCATCTCTGGGAGGATCAAACTCTGTAGCATAGGCTAAAATCATACTGTATTGAGGCAAATCTGAAGTAGGCTTTACAAATGATACTTAAGGATTTTCAATACCTGTCGTGTACGTAGGGAAAAAAACGACATTCAGGTTGATCATCTGACTGAGTATCAGAGGAAGGAGTAAGGATCAGGAGGATTGTCAGGGTCTGTCACATTAGTCTGGGTTAGAACGTCATTTCATCACATACTAACTTCATATAATCCAAATTCGGTTCTTTTTTACTGACCAGTACTTATCTCTTTAACCTTATACTTATTACCCGTGTTATGTTCAACTTACGCGATAAGGACCAACAAACTTTTGATCAAGCTTTGGCATTGCAGACGATTTGTTAAAGTTAGTCAGCATAACTCTCGAACCTACTTTGATTTTTGATGGCTTTACTCGAGTATTTGCGACTCTTGTAAATTCAGCTGTTGATTTATGAAGTGTTTCACGGATTCTTCTAAAAACACTTTGAGCTAAGCTGGTACGAGTTGCTACGAAATCATCAGGGTTGTAATTTGGTTTCGGATTAGAATACAACAACTCATAAGGCAAACATTTATCTACACCATACAATGCATAATGTGGAGTGTCACCTATAGAAACATTGTAAGCAGAATTTATAGCACACTGCACATCAGGTATAACTTCATCCCAAGTTTCACTATTGGGATTGATAGTGGCTCTCAAGACATCAAGTACTTTCTTATTGGTTCTTTCCGCTAACCCATTGCTGGCAGGATGATGAGGAACAATGGTGGATTTAGAGATCTTGTACAAGGTGCACAAATTTTCAAGAATTTCATTACAGAATTCACCTCCATTATCTGTTACTAGGGACTTAGGAGTGGTATGCCTGCAGATAATGCGTTCTTTAAACGCTTTAGCTACTGTCTCGGCAGTCTTATCTTCAATAGGAACTAACTCGCAATATCTGGTGAAATGGTCTACCATAACACACAGATGTTTGTTACCTTGGAGGGAACATTGGAAATTAGTTAACAAATCTAGCGCAACTCTTTCCCAAGGTTCGCTAGTAGTTGGATACACTTTGATTGGATTAGGACCATTAGCATTACCTTTATATTGCATGCAGACACTACATTTCCTAACATACTCAGAAATATCAGTTGCCATACGAGGCCACCCAGTAGGTCTTTGAATACTGCTGAGGTCAGCACAATATGAAAGACCGTGACTCAAGAGACGGTTGATCGTTGAGTCAGACGGTACTGGTAACTGGTTACTACTACTGAGACTGGTAACTGGTTACTACTACTGAGACTGGTACTGGCACACCAGTGGTGCAGTAACCACTGGTATACTGGTACTGGCACACCAGTGGTGCAGTAACCACTGGTATACTGGTACTGGCACACCAGTGGTGCAGTAACCACTGGTATACTGGTACTGGCACACCAGTGATGCAGTAACCACTGGCATACTGGCACTGGAACACCAGTGGTGCAGTAACCACTGGTATACTGGTACTGGCACACCAGTGATGCAGTAACCACTGGTATACTGGTACTGGCACACCAGTGA